CGGCGGGCCCAGGGAGGAGGAGGGTAGGGGAGCTACTCGGCAGCGGTGCGAGGGCAGTAACAGCGCGCGTCCGCGTCCTTCCAGCACTTTTAATGGGTTAAAAAAATGGGAAAGTTACAACGGAGGGGAGCGGAGGGACCGGCGCCAGCACGGGGAGCGGCGGGAGAGGGCAGGCACGGCCCCGGCAGGACTGGGAAGAGCAGAGGAGCGCTGGACACACGGGCAGCCAGCCACTGCTGTCCCACCAGAGCGGCGACCAGCTCAGGGTTTCAGACCACCAAACATAAGAACTAGGTTTGCAAAGTAGAGACTACTTCAAAAAACATCCAAAAAACCCCCCAAAACAGTACAGTCCATCCTCGTGCCTCACATAGCCAGGAGCTGCTCCAACTCATCAAGTATTGCTGAACATTCCTTAATTTCTGCTTGAAAGGAGGAATGCTTCTCCAGGGACTGGTGTCTCCCTTCTTCTGCCGACTTCCACTTGGCCATCGCTGTCTGTGTGGAGAAGTCACAGTAAACAACATTTTACTCACACCAAAGCTTTAAATAGCAAAGCCAAGTTGTAGAGCAGCTCCAACTAAACATTTCGACTCCTCATCAGGGTCTCCCCTGCTAAACTAGGATTAGTCTGACCTGACTGGGATGTCTTCTACCTTGGTTCCTTGAAGAAAAGGGCAATTTATCTGTGACCAAAGTTTAGGAAGTTTTATGTAATAGCAATTTTATTAATTAGCTCTTAAGCATCTTACCAAGAATGGTAGAACTGTAATTTAATGACTATTTTGGTCAGTATACAGACATTACTGAAGCTGCTTATGCTTGCGTACTCCCCAGCTCCCAGAGAGACTACCCGAGGGCACTGGTCTGCAGCAGTTTGCAATTCAGAGCAAATCTCCTGACATGCAGTGTGACAGCCCGACCAGGGGATCAGTGTTCTGCCAGCGGCGCTTACCACCGCCTGCAACAGTCTGGAGAACTCTTTTTTGAGAGGAGCTGGTGTAAGCAGGGGCAGCTCCGTCTCCAGTACTGACATCCATCGTTACTTGGGAACTGATTCAGTCTAACTCGAAAGCTCCCAGTCATTAATCTCACTTTCCTCTTTGACCTTCTTTCAAGCTTACCTGTATACGATTCAACTTGAAATGACTGAGAAGAGAATTAACATTGCCCCACCACAAACTTTGCTTTGAGCCCTCTATTTGGAAGGGGAGTAACCCATACAGTTTCCTTAACGCACGTATAATGAGCCGAGCAATACTGCAGGCTTTCACTGCCTAGGTCGTTTGGAGACTACAGCAGCACTGGGAGGAGCAAAATAACCTTCAGAATCTCTCAGCCCCAGGCGCTCATTACCTGGTTGAGTCAGAAACAAAGTCACAGCCTTACCTGAAGCTCCTCCTTTTCTGTTGTGGCTGTTTGATTAAATTGCCTCAATTCTTCTATGAGCTTCTCAGTTAACAGCTGAAGAGCCGAAAGGAAAACAGTTTAATGTAATGCCAACAGATGAGAGTCTCAGCAGCTGTTCCCACAGCAGTAGGAAAGGGCAGTCACACCCAGACTTCTCCAAGCCCATTTATCTCCTGTCACTATTTCAAAGTTCTCTTACCGTTGTTTGCTTCTGGTATTCTTGTGTCTTTTCTTCCTCCTCCAAAATGTTGCTGCCTGTAACTGATTTATGAGATGCATTAGTGAACCCCTAATATACAGATAACTTTGCTTGTAAGAACTAACAGCTTTTCAAAGTAACTTTCAACAGCAAGAAAGACAAAATTATTTTCAAAGTTTATCCAGGACAGGGCCTACTACAGGAAGCAGCTTTTTCTCTTAAGCTAGAAAAAAACGAAATCCCCTGGAGCAACAGCAGTATTTCCTTAATGAGGAAGCAGAGTCCAAATGTCTTATGAACAGTCACAACAGGAAACAAAAAAAAAAAAAAATAAAGGTGTTCTGAAGAATGAGTACTGGAACGGTACAAGAAGTGCATAGTCCTTACCAGGATCAATGTTTCTGCTTTCTAAAATCACCATGCAAGTCTGCTGAAATTTCTTGAGCTTCTCAACTTCTTGTACCAGGCCTTCATTCTCCTCCTTTAACTCCTTTATAGCGCCCTGTCATTAACACAGTTTGTAAGCGAATCAAGTTGCCACGGAGATCTTCTCATTACTCAGCGATACTGCGTGTGACGCTAATGGCTTAACAAGTGCTCCACTACCACCAAGAATCACATCTTGCCCTTCTGCCTCTACCACCACAGCAAATTAGTCTGCTGCAGAGCCTTCCTCCTGCTTCTTGACAGGATTAATACATTTATCACATCCACGTGTCATAGCAATTACTAGAAAAATTTGATCCTAGAGATGAATTCCTTTCAGGCAATCCCAGCATCTCTTTTTTAGTGCTCCCTCTCATATACATAAATAATTCAAGAGTTTGATGCATTGAAGAGCATATAAACATAAGGAGGAAAGGGCATATTAGAAGCTTTAAGCAACAGCATTATTCCCTACACAGTTCAGATATTACCAGGCAATCGGA